CCCTGTCGGCCCTCGGCAGGGGACGAGGCGCCCCTCACAGCCGGCGCCAGGGCCTCTGCCCAGGCAGCTGCGAGACCTCCCGCTCCCCGAGGCTGTCTCCTCGCGGGCACTTGATGGCATTTCTGACCCCACGGAGGCAGCAAGAGGGGAATCGCTGCCGAGGCCGGGTCCCCCACCACGGAGGGGCTGCTGGTAACGCCCTCTCACCCAGTGCGGGAGGGGCTGGTGGGCGTTGGGGTCCCCGAGCAGCCCCCTTAGCTCCCCCCAGCGCCTCGCTGCCCAGCTGGCTCTGGAGGCTGAAGGTGCCCCCTCCCTGCCGGCGAAAACCGTCCCTGTTGGGAAAGGATCCCTCGCCCCCCCCCTGGCTCCCCAGGAGACGGGGCTGGAGTTAGTTGGGCTGGAGCCGGCTGGCCTGTCTGCCTTCTGCCCCAGCAGGGGCAGCCCCCTGAGCTGGGAGGCTGTGGCCGCTCTGGCCATCGGCGGCTACTGAGGAGCCCCTTCCAGGACACCCCAGCTTCTGTGTTCTCCTTGTCCATCTGAAGTCGGGACTGGCTGATCTTGCAGGCTGAAGATGTGGCAATTGCCAGATGTTGATGCACTTCCTGGCCCATGAACGGCAGCTTAGCCTGGTGGGGTTGACTCATGGGGACTGCCTATTTGCCACTGTTTGTAGAAGTGGTTCCTTGGACTTTCAATCAATCAGACATTCTTTTCAAGTCATCGGTTATTTTGGCACCCTCCAGTCTTCGGTTTTATACCCTGCCCCGTTCTTTACTGTTCTCAATATTTATTCAAGTAGTTGTAGCATGTAGGTCCTTTCTACCCCACCTTGTTTAAACACAGTACTTGGAGAAACAGGCTGTGGTAAACAAAGACAAAAGGAGTTGAAATAAGTTTTGTAAGCAGCATTCTATTATTCCTGAACAGTTTTCACAGAGACTAAATTCTACTTAAATCATTTTTGCCAGAGTTCGCTGTGGGGATTCACTCTGCTGGGTCTAGCTGTACTGCATCCCCGTGGTCATCTGGTGAGTACTGCAATTCCGCTGATCCTCTGGTGAGTACCGCATCTCTGGTGACTCCCTGTCTTCAGGAGCTTAAACTAAACCCCTCTGCTATTGCTTGAGTAAGTCTTTGCAAATGGAGCCTTTCCCGATGAATATAGAAGTTGCGTTCCACCAACCCTGCTTTGGAGTGGGCAACAGTTTAAACAACTTTCTTAAATACATCACTTATCTGAAACCTGGCACTCTCCATATTCAGTTTGTAGGTGTAGTCATGCCCTGTACCTGTTAGTTGGGAGTCCCCAGGTGGGATGCTGGTCTGTCAGGCCTCCACCTCATTTCTCCCAGGTGCACATTCTTCTCACTCACCTGCAAAATTTGTCAGCTGCAGGCTGATCCTAAGCTAGTTCAAGGTACTGTACAGATCAGTCCGGAGATTGATCAGGTATTTTATCTTATATTGAACCCCGAGGGCTGGGCTTTGGCCATATCTCTGTTCCAGACTCTACCTGCTAAACACGTTACCCTTAACTTGTGATGAACCTGTAGGCCATCTTTTTTCCAGAGCAGTACTACAGTTCTTTGAAAAAGTTAAGACCTCTACAAGCGCTTGTAACCTTGTGTTCCATGAATGAGTTTCCTCGCAATGACTGCTCAGCTCATGCGTAGACACGCATGACTGTTGGTTTTGAAAACAAAATAACCAAGCTTGCTATGAGGCTTTTAAGTCCTTTCCCCACCTCTTCCTCTTTCTCAGCTGTCCCTCTGATTCCCCCTTTTAGAAGTACTCCAGAGGCCGAGCTAGCACATCACCTGCTGACAGCACACTCCCACCTTTGTGTAAACCAGCCAAAACCAGTCACCAGCCAGCAAGCGTTTGGAAAGTTATCTTTAAAAACAGCTATAAAAATTGGTTGAAAGGCTACAGTATCACTGAAAAAATATTGTATTTTCTTGTTCTGCTGACACATTTTACTTGTGCTACTCTAAGGTTTTGGGTACAATGTGGCTTTGCTTACCTTTGTCACCTCTATAGCAAGCCCACATGTAAATTACTTATATTGCACTTTCCCCTAACATGGCAGTAGCAGATTTTCTAAAGACCAGACAATTGTAATGTTAGTTTAAATCCAGTCTATTTAATCCCAAATTGTTGAATTGTGGTGTGTGTAGGGGGGTTTCAGTGACAGAATAAAATTACTCTGTATATTTTTTCATTCTGCACTATGCTATTAATTGCTGCTATTTCTGAAGAAGGAAATGTATCATATTCAAAGTAACAAATGATCTTTACGCTGTTGAGTTTAAATATGGAATATTCTTTCTCAAGTCTCAGTCCCCTACTACATCTATTAATTTAATCTCTCTTGTTACCAGCCAGCTCTAGGTAATTAGTTAGTCTGCAGTACTACTTTTAGAAATTTGGAGTCTGTGAAGTAATAGCAAGGAGTCTGTGGGAAGTAACTAAAAGAAGCAAGTCTGGTTTTGTTGGAAATAAATTTTCTGTGCATGGCTACAGACCGCTAAGGGGATCTGTGAGTTGAAAAGATTGAAAATCCCCAGCTAAGGGTTTAGACGTTTAAGTTAAATAAATTGCAAGAATATTCAGCAGATCATTTTTCAAATATGAAGCACACGTTATGTTGGGTTGTTGTACTTCATGAATGGTACTGTGGTTTAGACTTTCTCAGGAATAAATGAAAATTGTCCTGAAACAAGCTCTGTTTGGGCAACATGAAAGCATTACAATGCAGCAGAACCTAGGCAAAATATAATTATCAGGCAGTTGGCTGTATTAATTTGATTTTCAAAATGATAAGGTGTCTTTTAAAACCAATTTCAAGATTATTTGATACTATCTTAAAAATGTCAAAATAAAAATCAGCTGAAAAGCATAAATTTAGTTACTAAGCAGTTTACCATACAATATTTACATACATAACTAGCTTTTACTGCGTTGAGTAACCCTGCTCATTCAGTAAAACTACTCATACTAGCAAAGATTATTTCCTTGCATAGTTTAGAAAGATCAAGTCATTAGCTTCTTCTGTTATAGTTACCTTTGTCCGTACAAGTATCAGCATTGTAGAACTGTAAAGCAGTGTGGGGTTTTTTTTCAAAAATGTGTTTCACTTACTATAGGCAGAAACTAAACTTAAGTGTAGTTTAAATCAGTAGCACATATAGTATCTAAAATTTCAGTACCATGAGAGTTTGTCAATATCTGATGACAACAAGATTTAGCGCTATAAAAATAGGTAAAGACATTCTGGTGTTACTGAAGGGAGCTTCTAACCAGGCCTTCTGGTAGTCCTTCTTTAAAAAGGCATAGCCAAACAACTTACAGCTATGGGATTAACTCCCAGCCAAGGTCAGTGTTAGCAAAGGGATATATGGCCTCCTGAGATATGATTAAGTACCACTGAGCTTATTTGGGATGAGTATTTTATAGAAAAACTATGCTGTATCCATGGAACAGAAAAATTATGTGAGCAGTGGGTTGAGTTGCAAGATACATCCTGTGTAGCATTTGTGTACTTCTGAACTTTGGAAGGCCTGGGCTCTGTAAATGAAACAGAGCTAGAATCTGTAGGAAATGCACAGCTTTGATTAAAATAGACACTTTGAAAATACGCTCTGAATTAGGTGAGCGTGCAAATTTGCTTGTATCAGAAATCTGAAACTCTGCAATGCTCAGGTGGAAAGAGATGATAGTTTTTATTCACTTCTGTTAGTGACTACTCATTTAAATAATTTTTATTAACACGTGGGAAGCTCTTGTGGCTGTGAAAGAGACTCTTCTGAGATCATAGTGCTCTGCCATGTACTAGCTAGGCGTGGTGATAATTGAATTTTAAGGCTACAAATAATACTAAAAGTTGTATTTTGACATTGAAGTTTTATGAGATAAAAGTGATTTTAATAATAATTTCATAACATATCTATGTAATGCCTTTCATTTCAACATGAAGATGCAGTTCCATATACTTTTTCCCCTCCCTTCCTCTGTGACAATGGTGACTAATGGACTTGATACCATTCTTTGCTCTCAGTTGTACAGCCACAGTTTTTAGGTCCATGGTGTAAGCGGGCCCTACAACAATCAACTGATCTGTGATGAGAATAGGTCCTTCTGTTGTGGGTTCTGCTTAACTGCTTATGGGCCACTGGGGCCAAATGCAAAGAGCTGAACGGTGAATTGATCCTCATTTTCAGCACAACTAAAGGGTCCAAGAATGTCTTAATTTAGCACTGCTGCTGAGAAAATCCTGAGGGAAGTCATGGTCTAAGAATACTGCACGCAGCCATTTCACTTCCTAATGTCTGAAATGTTCCCTGGATATAATAGAGATATGTTACAATTCACTTAAGTTTTAATGACTTAACTGGTTCAGAATCTGATATAAGACAGTTAAACTGAGAAGATTCAGAATCATTTGGGGAAGACGTGCTATTCTGTCACTCCCATGCTGTTAGTATGTGACATTAACATTAGCAGTAAACCTTAAGGTAAAGGGAGAATAATTACTGAGGGAAACTAAGAAGATGAAATAAGCCTCTAAGAGTTCAAAGTACAGAATTGCGCTAAGTGTTTTCTGGCACTGGACAAATCTGGAGAAATTTTTCAATGTTTATTCATCTTGAATATATGAAACTGAGCAAGATTTCTGGGCCTGAATTAGTTTTTAATTCAGTGGTACACAAAGATGTCTTTATTTTGGATTCACCAGCAGGATGATTGTAGGTTGGTTTGGGGTTCCTTTGGTGGGGATTGAGGAAGGTGAAGATGACCTTCTGAGCACAAAAACTGAAGTATTCGCATTTTAAAGTATTTGCAAGTTTTCATGACTACTTGATAAACAGTAGCGTTTTTAAGATTTTGTGTGCATATTTGATCAATGAGACCTCCTCTCTCCTTTAATAGTAGCTAAGAGTGGTTTTGGTTACATTTGTCACAATAGTGTCTAATAATATTGGTACTGCCATTCAGTGTGTCTCTCTTGTTCTGAAACAATGACTTTAGTTTTCCTTATTTAATTTGGGTTGCTCCTGTTGAATAGTGGTGGTGCATTCAGCGCTGCGCTAGAGAAAGACTCGGTCCTCAGCCCTGAAAAT